ATTTTAGGGAAGATTAGAAAAAAATAAAGTCACTTGTGAAAATCAGATATTATGAGGGTAGCTAGGGATTATAAGGAAGCAAGATGTCAAATATTTTGATGTTCTTTGATGTAACTTGAAAGTTCATGAATCATAAAGAATGTAATCACTGAATAGATTATGCTGTAAAGAAATTGATTACTATGAAATCATTGTGTATTGTAACGGTATATAAGGAGCTGAAAATTTGAGTAAAAGATAGAAGAAGATCTTGGATTCATCACGACCCATCGACTCTGAGTGTTTCATTTCGCTGACTCCACATCCCCCTTTGAGAGTCCCCTAATAATTTGTCGAGGCTGTTCCCCGGCATAAAAGTTTGTTTATCCACACATCAGAGGTCTGGGACTAAAGAGACAAGGGTTATTACAGAAGCCCAATGACATTAGTCACCCTGTCTTCTATTTTTCTGCCTACCATCCTCAATATGTGTTTTCCATCCTCTTGGTCACAGAATAATTGCTGATTCAGAAGAATCCATAGCCCAGATAGGACCTAGGAGAAGAAACACAGATGATGTACAAAGGGTCTTAAAAACAAAACAACTTCTTAAAGAAACATAATATACATAAGGAAAAAATGCAACATCATAAACTCATTGAATTTATTATAAAAATGCATGTTGTCTAAGAAGCTCCACTTAACATTCTATGTGTACATATGTTTGACTAAAATTGTGTTGCAAACCGTGGTAGGTAAAATAATATCCTCTCATAGATGGTCACACTCAAATCTCTGGAAGATATGATGATATTTCATAAATCAAAAGGAATGAAGTTATCAGAAAGATTTAAGGATGTTAGTCAGGTCACTTTAAAATTGGATTATGATGAATTGTCTAGATGAGCTCTCCACTACTTGTCTGTCTGTTTTTTATACTGAGGTGACTTATGTTTTGCTGTGGTTCTGGAACCTATGCCACAGATTATTTAATTACCAGAAAGGTCACCAGTGATGAGCAGGTTTCAGCTGAGTTTACAGATGAAGACAGATTAGGACGAAGGACAGGCAGGCTACTTCTGAATATTTAGCCAATAAAAATCTTACAAATAGCAGTGAAACACTGTCAGATAGCCCATGAATATTGAATATTGAAACATGATGGATAGCACCAGAATATTGTCAGATAGAGTGCAGGAGAATGAACACCTCAGGTTGGAAGGCAATACGACAGAGGAAGATATACTCCTCCTTAGAGTAGAGTTGGCTATAATGACATGAATGAAGTAAATAAAGCTTTCAGGACCTTCACTTGCTGATGGGAAACAAATCAAAATGAAGAGAAACAGCTATAAACAACCATTTATAATCAGAACATGGAATTTATGAATCTAGGAAAATTGAAAATTGTCAAAAATAAAATGGAACATATAAACATTGATATTCTAGGCATTAGTAAGCTGAAATGTATTGGTATTTGTCATTTTGAATCTGACAATAACATGGTTTACTATGCTGAGAATGATAAGTTGAAGGGGAATGGTGTAGCATTCATTACCAAAAAGAACATGTCAGGATCTGTCTTGAAGTACAGTGTTGTGATAGGATAATATCAATACACATACAAGAAAGTCCTGGTGTGGCACTGTGGGTTAATGTACCAGACTGAAAGGTCATTTCAACTTCAAAGTCAGCAGTCCAAGCTCACAAGCCAGTCCTCAGAAACTCTATACAGGGTCGCTGTGAGTTGGAACCGACATAACAGCACTTATCAACAACAATAAGAAGAAAGACCAGTTAATACCACTAATAATCAGATTCATACAGAACCACTAAAGCCAGTGATTTTGAAATTGTAGAATTCTACCAACTTCTGCAGTCTGAAATTGACAACGGACAATCAAGATGTATTGACAGGCTTGGGTTTGCACCCTGCCTTTTCAGTACTTCTATGACCTATGGTAGCGTAGTGCTTATGAATTGGGCTGCGAACCTTAAGGTCAGCGGTTCAAAACTACCAGCTGC